ACATTATACATAATAGTGTATTTTCCTTTCCTTTGTACTCTGTGGGCTTGCAGAATAAGGGGAAAAAATCACACACTCCTTAATAACTGTTCCCTTAGAAACAAGAGCAACTCTGAATTGACCACTCTATAGGCCTTGTCTAGATTCCCTGCCCTTGGCTTTCACCGATGGAGACCAACACTGAAGCATGGGGACACTATGAGACCCACTACCAATTATAACTATTCTAGGTTCTAACACACTCAAGAGTAGCCAGGGAGGCTTCATGAGCAAGATGAGAGCTAAGCAGAAACTTGGAGGATAGGTAGGTTCTGTAAGTATAAGTAAGGTGGTTGAAAAGGGACCTGTTCTTAAGTTGGGAAGGGCCAGGGCCTGTTATAGCCCCAAGTGTTTGAGCACCTGGAGCAGGAGGAGGTATTGGGATGGACTAGATAAGTAGGATGTGATAGATTGTAGACCAACAAAACATCAGGCTGAATTTAAGCTTAGCCCCAAAAGCCATGCAGAGCCACCATATATCCTTAAACAGAGAAGAGAAAGTTTGGGAATGAGCTGGTATTTGAAATAAGTAAATCTAGCAGTAGCAGGCAGGATGGATTGGGTTGCAAACAAGGGGTTCTTTTATAGTGTCAATATTATTGCAATAATCCATGTAACATAGCCCTGGTTGTTAGACTTCAGTTTCATGCTGGCAGGTGTGCCACACATGATAACCCCATAGTCTCCCACATTCCCACACTGTAATTGCTCACTTCCTTAATTAAATGTGATAAAGCTTAGGCAATAATGGAGCCAGGCAAGGATCATTAATATGCCCTTCTAATATTCAGGTAGATCTTCCTCCATTACACACATCATATACCATCATCTCCTGCGTGCCTTTGTGTTAAAACAGGCCACCAAGCCTCTCAGTGCTCTCCTACTCTGCTCCTACTGCCAAGACAGAGAAGTGGCCGACTTATTCCCTCCGGAATCCTAGAGTAAAAATAACTTTCATGGTGCTCAAATTCAATACCATATGCCCTGTATGGTGGCCCACATCTAGAATCCCAGTTATTCAGGAGGCTGTGGGAGGAGGATTGGGTGCTCAAGGCCATCCTGGGTAACAGAACAAAACCCCTTTTCTCAAAACAGAACAAAGTCAATACTAGTATCAGTGTTGTTGCCTAAAAACCACTCACTATTCAAAATTCCAGTAATAGATGAAGAGTTTGAATTGAGGAGGGAAATAGCCATGGTGGAATTGGGAATGGAATGAGAATTGGTTAACAGAGATGTAAGACTTTAGCAGCAAGTATGGTGCCACAGATGGACCTCACGACTGTTCTCGAATTTTCCAGGCCTTGTGCCCAATAAAAACTTGAACAGTGGGAATCTGAAAGCCCTAGTCGCTTTTCTCCTCACTGTCAACAATCACAAATACTTTCGAGTCCCTTGGGGCTATATCTTTCCCTTCAGTGTTCAAATATGATCTCTCACCTTAAATGAACTCAGACTTGACCTTGTGTACCTCTCTAGCTACTGATATTCTTAAAAATGAAAGGAGAAGGAGAAATGAGGGGAAAATATTAGTGTCTTGACATGGTTGTTTCCTTCAAATTAGTCTAGTGAGTAATAAGCTGGGAACAGGATGATGACCCACTGGGGACAACCTTGACTCTTGTTGCTCTTGACTCTGAGATGTGGAATAATGCAACAATCACAGGAGATCGTCAGCGTCCTCAGAACATAGCAGAAACAACAGACAAAACCCCCAAGGCCAGCTTCCCAAGGGTAGGATCTATAGAAAGAGGGTACAAAGAGCAGGGCTGTGGGGTCCAGGAAGGCCTCCTGATTTCCTAGTAAGTGTTGTTGACTTGGAACATTATAAGAAATGTCCAATAACCCAGGCAATTGACATCTGAGGAAAATAGGAGCCCAAAACATGGGAATGTCATCTGGGAAAGCTGCCAACGTAGGACTGAGTCATAGGGACAAAGGAAAAGACTGCGTTTGACCCGGTAAGCAGTAGTGGAGGTGATAGCATGAGGGACCATGAGTCAGACCAACAGACGCAGTAGCCTCCAGGATGCTGTTCCAGCCTGGGTCTGAGGGAAGAGTTAGCATCTGTGACCAAAATGAATCAAAGGAAAAAGCTTCTGTTGGGGCTGAGGCATCCAGCTATAACGTACTACCAAAAAGAGTAAGAATCCCCATGCCTCATGCCAACCAGGGCCAGAAAATGCCAGAAGCCTAAAGTGGACTGAGAGGTGCCTAATTCTGTGCCAAGCTGCCAGGATGACAAGGTTTCTTCCCTACAGGCCCCAGAATTTGTAAGGTTTAGTTGTGGTTGTGGATCAATGACATATAGAGCACCCAGGAGGGACACCAGAAGGACAAGAACTCAGGGTCTGCAAAGGGGCCTCAGACACCTCCTCTGTCTTCCATTTGGACACCAGGGAACCATTCAGTCCCTCATAAGAGCTGGGGTACCAATTTTAGTATCTTCTCCTTTATCTTAAAACACAAGACTCACCAGCAGCTTAGGCTTGCAGTTGCACTGAGTATATTTCTACTCCTTTCCCCTCCCCAGAAGTGAAAATAATTAATACGGACACAAATGATCACAGAGACACATTGATAAGGCAGCAGGCCACTGATTTTGACCTTAATAATGCTCAGCTCAAGCCAGCTGCACAAACGCAGTGGAGTGTAACAGGCAAGCAGGAGCCCCGCCCTCAGGCTTCCAGCTCAGTAGGAGCAGTAGGACCTTTCAAAGGTCCTCTTCTGCTGAGAAGACAGCGCCATCTTGTGTAGAATTCATAAAGTTAGCTGTATACCACTTCGTTTTCTTGTCGTTCACCAGATTCCCTCTCAGTCTGCGTCCTCTTCTTTAATTTCCGGAATCTACACAAATGCTGTACTACAAGAAGCATAAAAAGTCCTTAAGCACGATAGGATGGCACCAAGCATAGAAGACGGCACTGAAGATGCAGCCAGACTCCAGAGTATGTATTGAAGTAGAAACTTCTTTTAAAGTACGTGCATGGGAGCTAGGAAGACAGCTCTGTCTATAAAAGTGTAAAGACCTCAGTTACATTTCTCACAGATCAGTGTAAAATAATGCCCGACGTGGTGGTACACCCTCGTAATCCTAGTAAAAGGAAGCAGAAACAGACGGATCCTCGGAGCTCACCGACCAACCAGCCTAGCCTACTTGATGAGCTCCAACTCAGTGAGAAACTCTGTTCCAAGAAAAGGTGGATGGTACCTGAGAAACACCTGAGGCTATCCTCTAGCCCCCATGTGGACAGACACACACACACACACACGTGAACATGCACCCCACACACACAGATGCACCTGCACACATATGAATACACATACATACATCATACACACTAAATAAATAAATAAGTAGTAAAACATGCCTGTAGATTGAATATTTTCTGTTATGCCTTCCGTCCACCCAAGTCTGAAGTATGAGGTTGAGGTTCTCTGCAGAGCCTGTGCGCAGCCCCAACATTGCTCTTAGGGGTGGGCTGATCCTGATTTTTAGCATCCGCTCACTTTCCTGATACAAGCACCCCCAAGGAGACAGGGTAGCTGCAGAACTGACATATGCCACGAATCCAGCAGCCAGAATGAGCTGGCTTCAGCACGCCACCAGACACCGTATCTTGTGCTCATCGCAGAGGTCTTCTGCTCATTGCTCAGAGATAAGTCCGAAGGGGAAGAAGAGCTGGGCATGGTGGTTCACATCTATAATCCCAGCACTTGAGGGGATAAAGCAGGAAGATCAAAAGTGGAAGTCCAGCCTGGGCTACACAGCAAGGCTCTGTCTCAAGATACAGGGGAGGCCAGTTCTGAGAGTCTAAGGGTGTAAAGTACCAAGCAATACAGGCAAAGGAACTACATCTCCTCACCCCATCATGAAGTTCACAGGTGAACTGGGACCTTGCTCATGTAAACTTACAGCGTGCAGACTCAGTGACAAAAATGAGCATAGAACTGGGGAAATGGGCAGGAGGCTCCAACTTTGGCGAGGAACAATTGGCAGCTGATCACTGCTGGGTGAGGAAGAGTTGACCTTCTTTAAGGGAGTGACACTAGGCAGGTTGAACAGGCTCCAGTGGATGAATTCACACTGAGGGACATCTGGTTACACAAACTTGACTAGATAGGCATATATATATATATATATATATATATATATATATATATATGACAAAATGAATGAAATCCTGAGAGCAGGCTATGGGGGGGGTGCAGATAGGGAAGAGGCACTAAATATGATTAAGATGAAATCCACAAAAATTCGATTAAAAATAGATTTTAAAATAATAAAAATAAATGATATATAAGAAAAAGAAAAAAACAGAAAAAGCTCCAAAGAAAACACACCCTTCCATTTCAGTGAAAAACAAAGCTCACTCTCCTCAGAGGCCAAAGGAAGGTGGTGACCACTGAAAACTAGAGTGGAGGATGGTCTGACTCAGGAGGGCTGACGAACCCCTAGGCCTAGAAGATCTCCTACCAAAGGCCAATAGAGCAGAAACTGCCCCTAGAGGAAGCCCCAGAAAGCTCTTCCACAAAGGGTGTCCTGGACACCTGTAAGTCTCCTTGGTACACAGATCAGGAACTTTGTATGGGAACATGGGGAAAAGCACGTCCCTAGCAGACATTGCTGAGCAGAAATCAGTGGGGGCACTTCCTTCCCTGAAACTACATCACAAGGAACCACACCCTGGCATCATGGGTAGGTTCCATGACCATAAAGCAATGCCAGCCACCCTGGGGATAAAAATGTCGGAACTAGCCACCACCAGCTTCTGCTGTATAGGAAGCCCCTTCTTTGGAAGAGTGACTTGGTGAACCCCAGAGTTACATGGTGAGTTCGGGGGACAGGATGTGGGAGGCATGAGGACATGAGGGTCTGGGGACCGAGGGAAGCCAGGGCTGCTGAGCTGGATGTGGGCAGGGTAAAGGGAGAGGAGGAGGGAGACCTGGAAAGGCTGGAAGGAGCAGGAGCTGGTCGGCTGCATGGAGGGCGGGCTGCCCCTTTGTGAAATCACCTCAGTCCTCTGGTAAGACTGTGTGAATGTGTCTTTGGTCATGAAGAAGCAGCTGTGATCACATCTGGGCAGACCTGACATGGGACAGAGAGCACAAAAGGGGACTAGAGGTGGGGGGAGGGGGAGAAGCAGGAACCCGGTCTGCACCAGCCCCCCTGGAGTTGAGACAGCTGGAGAGTCGAGCCAAGTTTAACAATTTTGTGCCACTTCGGGAGACCCGCTGACAGGACTTGTATTAGTTCAGACGATAGGCAGAGAAAACAGCAATTCCAGCAGGTCAGGCTGGAGCTTCACCAGGTTAAGTTGGGTTAACAGTGTCGGTGCTTAGCCATGCAAGTGTGGCAGTGCGCATGCTCCGAGCCCCTTGCTCGGTTCACCTAGAGATGAGGGAAATGGCAAGGCTGGTCTCTGAAAATGTGGAAGAGCTGAGGAAGAAACGTGGAGAGGAGAAAAACCTTTTCCCTGTCCTAAGAAAAAGCTCTTGTGGGAATGTTTGCCTTGCGTCACGTGCAGGGGGATAAACATGGCTCTATTAACCCAGAAATTCAACTCCAAACAGCTGGCTGATTGCAAGGACAGCTCAGAACTGGCATGCACCCATGTCTGTGAAGGGGGAGACCAAGAGAGGGAGGAAAGAGTCCCTCAGCTGAAAGGGACCACAAGCAGGAACACCGGGGTGTGAAAGAAAAGTTAAGGGTGCTGACGACAGGGGGCACTGTCCTGCAGGGGACCTAAGGACCCGGCCCAAGGGCTCCACTAGCCAACTGCAACCGGGGTGAGGCTGGGAGCCAAAATCTTCCACTTGCACCATGGGTTTCTCTGATTTGCTTGTTTACTTTCCTTTGATTCTGATGTTCAAAGGCAATAGTATGTGTTGATGTTTTGGATAAAGAATGTGCCTTCTGAGAGACAGAATGCCTCCAGATGAATTAAAGGGACAGAGCAGGGGAAGGGAAGCAGAGCTCATGGTATACCTTCATGGAAGGAAATTATGAGTTTTTCTTTCTCTATTTTTTTTTTAATTTTTTTTTTTATTTTATGTGTATGCGTGTATTGCCTGCATGTAGGTAAGTGCGCCTGTGTCGTGCAATGCCCTGGGAGGTCAGGAGAGGCTGTGAGATCCGCTGGGACTGGAGCTACAGACAGTTGTTAGCTGCCATGTGGGTGCTAGGATTCGAACCCAGGTCTTCTGCAAGAACAACCAGTGTTCTTAACTGCTGAGCTATCTCTCCAGCCCCTCTATTTTTCTTTTTGTTGGTGCCAGAGACGGAACTCAGAGCCCTCCACTTTTGAACTCAACCACTGAGCTACACTCCCAGCTCTTTAGTTTTTAGGACAAAGTCTCGTTATGTAGCTCAAGCTGGCTTTGAATTAACTATGTAGCCCAGGCTAGTATCAAACCTATTATTCTCCTGCCTCTGCTTCCTGAGTGCTGGGATCACAGAAGGCCACCACTACCCCCTAGTAAGAAGAGCCACGTAGCTGGGAAAACCTAGTCCCTTCTCTGTCTACCACCCCTCAGAGGCAACCAAGACTAAGTTGGCAAACAGTCCTGCTTCCTGTACAGTTCCACTGACACCAACCTCAGGCCAAATGTACTTGCTCCTGAAATTATCACCTTTTTAAAAAACAGATCCAATAAGAATGACACTTTTTAATATTTTATTTATATTTTTATTTTATGTGTATGAGTGTATTGCCTGCATGTATGTGAGTGCACCCGTGTCGTGCAATGTGCAATGCCACGGAGGTCAGAAGAGGGCTTTGGATTCCCCTGGAACTGGAGTTAAGGACGGTTCGTAGCCACCATGTGGGTGCTGGGAATCAAACCCGGGTCCTCTGCAAGAGCAGTTAGTGTGCTTAACCACTTAGCCATCTCTCCATCCCCAAGAATGACATTTTTTTAGCTAGTCTACTTAATAACTGTAACTGTTGGGCCTTACTCTTTCCAATAAATATAGTAGTAGATAGGGTGATTAATGGGATTTTGATCTTAAGAAGGTTAAATTTCCAGATCTAAGTAGCTGTGGTATGTTGGGATAAAGGACTTGTTTTGCCTCCTAAGTAAAGCCAGGGCCAAGAAAACAGATTCCTAGAGCTGTGCAAGTTGACACACGCCCCTAAGCCCAGAAGAAAGGGCACAAAGGTGATCCAGAGAAGTGGGTATTTGACTCTGCCTGTCCTCACGCCATTGGACTTGGATGGGCTTCCATCAGAGTCTGTGCTGCTCTAGGAAATGCAGAGGCTGTGGACACCAGCCTGAAACTCTCTGCAGATTCCTCAGCCTTGCAACTCTTCCCTCCACAGATGCCAAGTTTCCCTGTATTTGCTGAATTTTCTATTCTTTGTCCAAACGCTTGGGTGTCTGTATGTTAATACACACAGATGCCAGACTCTCTCGGGGGCCAAATGTTTGGATTGCAAAACACTGAGAACATCCACACAGTTGACTTTTCATTCAGATAGGTTTTTGGCATTGTGTAAAAATGGTTGGGTTTTAATAATAAAAATCTAAGAATGGCCGGGGCTGGCTAACGGAAGGAGAGAACTGTGCTACATGGAAATCAATTGTTTTGTTGTTGTTTGAGGCTGGTGAACAGTTTCATGAAGGTGAAGTTCTATGCAGCTGGAGGTTCTTCGTTCCAGAGGGTCAAAGTAGGTGAGGCCCCGAGGCCAGCAGGCAAACAGAGCCACTGGGGCTGAGGTAAGCTCAGATATTACCTGATGCAGGAAGAGCAAAGGGCAAGTAAATGGCAATCTAAAGAGCTTTTGAGGTGAGGTTAGAGAAGCCAGATTCTACTGTCCAAAGCCTGGCCAAAGGCATAAATGATCAAAAAACCATCATTCAAAGTCCCAAAACACAGAGCCCAAGAAAGCTTCTGGGAAGGGATTGTCCTAGTTTGTTCTTCATTGCTGTGACAAAGCACTCTGACAACTTCCAACTTGGGGAGGAAAGGGTTTATTCAGCTTACATCTCCCAGGTCACAGTTCATCGGGGAGCCCAAGGTAGGAACTCAGGGCAGGAACCTGGAAGCAGGCGCTGGAGCACAGGCCTTGGAGGAATGCTGCTTACTGGCTTGCTACCCTGGTCCCAGCTCAGCTTGCTCTCTTATCCAGCACAGACCCACCTGCCCAGGGGTGGCACCACCCACAGTGAGCTGGGCCCTCCCACATCACTCAACAATCAAGAAAATGCCCCACAGACATGGCCACAAGCCAGTCCAATGGAGGCAATTCCCCAATTGAGGCTTCCTTAACCCAGGTGTGTCAAGTTGACACTAAAGCTATCCAGTGCAGGGACCAAGTGGGAGACTTTGTCTGTAGCAGACTGGGGTGCTGGTCAGAAGGGTCAGAGGATCCTTGTGCGAGGCTTAGGTTTTCTGGGTTTGTTCAACAACAAAGTTTTCTTGGGGACTCAGTCACCGAACCCTACAGTTGGCAAGACTGTGTCAGGTCAGTCTCAACTTAAAAAGGACAAATTATTTTCTTCATTGTTATCTAAGCCCCTAGCCCAGTAAATAAAGAATGCTATTAAAATATAAATTGGTGGGAGGCTGGTTGGGAAGAGATTTAGCCCTAATGGGAGGGGGACAATAGAGGCTAAAGGGGGGTGAATGTGACTGAAATTCATTCTGTACACGTGCAAAAATGTCATGATGAAGCCCATTGCTATGAATAATTAATATATACTAATAAAATATTTGAATAAATAAATCGATGTCCCTGAGCATAACCTCCATTAAGCTGTGTGTCCTGGAAAAGGTAAGGAAGGAAATTTAGTCTAATAGTTCAAATCATGGTCTCCAGATTCAGAGGCCAAGATTCAGATCCCAGCTCTCTACAACTTAGTTGATGCTTAGATGCAAGCAACTGACCTGTCCGAATCCTCTCCTCCTTGAAGAAAGAGTATCAGCGCTTCCAAAATGATTTACTATTGGGTGAATCATTAATAGCAAGCATAATAATAGCACTAACTTCTGGGGAAGGTTGCTTGCTCAAAGGACAGGATATAGCTCATGTCCAGTCTTGCAAAGTACTGTGCTCATATAGGTATTGTCACATGATTTGCAAATGGTAAGACAGTTAAGTGTCAGGTGTAATGTCTGTCTATATTCTAAAACATTCATAAAGGGAACAGTGCAAAGAGTTTTAACCAAGGAACACAGATAAGCATTTAAGTTCAAGCTGCTACTCGTGAATATTAAAACTTTTGTATAGGGGCTAGACAGCTGGCTCAGCTGGCTGTTCTTGCAGAGGACTCAAGTTCTGTTCCCAGCACCCACATGGCAGCTAACAACCATTTGTAACTCCAGTTCCAGGGACTCTTATGCCCTCTTCTGACCTCCATGGGCATTGCATGACACACGTGCACTTACATACATGCAGGCAATACACTCATACACATAAAATAAAAATAATTTAAAAAATATTTTAAAAACCTTCTGTATAAAGGTTGAGTGTCTTTGAGGAACACCCCTGGATGCCCTAGGATAAACTAGACGTGATCCCTGCTCTTGAGGAGCTTCTAATCTAGGAAGGAAGAGGAGATAAACGAGTGCCTACTGCCATATGTGAATGTGAATTTGTGTTGAAATTGAGATATACAACTACATTAGGTATGAAAGGGGAAAGAGTCTTTGCATCTGAACAAGAGAATGGAGCTTCATGGTGGAGGAGAAGAGACCAGCAGGGCAGGCATTGATGGTGGCCTCATCTACTAGCAAGTCCCACTTCTCTCCTTCTTTACTGAGTACTTACTCTCCCAGGTTCCTATGCAGGTAGTGTCTATCCAAGTGATACATAGCTACCCACAGCATTTCAGAGAAAGACTCCTGGAGCTTCTAAGATGGTTTTCTATTGGAGAAAAGAGAAAACCATCCACAGTGACACCTTTGCCCTTCTTCTACCTTGAATATGGACACCATGCCTGCTGCTCTAACAGACACTTTGCAACCATAGTTCAGCGAGCACATGCCAGGATAATATGAATCACCAACAGGGTCTGGCCCTTGGAAGACCTGGCTGATCTGCTGTAGTAGAGCTCTGTCTCAGGACTTCTCATTTGGGAAATGATTAAGTACTCTTTTTTAAATATATATTATATATTTGGTCTTTTTGAGACAGGGTCTCCCTGTAGCCCCAGCTGACCTCAAATTCACTATGTAGACCAGGCTGGCCTTGAATTCACAGAGATCCACCTGCCTCTGCCTCCCAGGTGCTGGAATTAAAGGTGTGTGCCACCACACCCTGCTTTTATTTTTTGTGTATGAGTATATTGCCTACATGTATGTAAGTACACCCTTGTGCAATGTCCAGGGATGTCAGAAGAGGGCATCGGATTCCCCTGATACTGAAGGTACAGACAGTTGCTAGCCACCATGTGGGTGCTGGGAATCAAACCCAAGTCCTCTGCAAGAGCAGCCAGTGCTCTTAACCACTGAGTCATCTCTCCAGCCCCATGATTGAATACTTTTCATGTTTAGGTCACCACTGGTTCAGTTACTTGCTGCTGAATGCATTCCTAACTGATACAGAGGAGCAGAGAGCAAAGACACAGAGGTGGGAAAACACAGGACACTCTCAAGCAGAAGCAAAAGCCCTGATTCTCTAGAGCATAAAATAAAACAAAAGGAAGCATAGAAAAGGCTGGAAATGTGGGCTGGAACTTTGTGGTGTGTGGTATACTGAGCAGGGGAGAGAGGGAATGAAGGGCTTTTTCAGGGGTTTGATATGATAAGAACTATGCTTCAGCCTAAGATGCAAAGAATAAGCGACAGTTGTGGGTCGGTGCTGAGCAAGTCACTATACCACCCCCTCTAAGACTCAGGGAAAATTTTGGAAGAAGAGGCAAGATGTAAGAGCAGGAAGATGGGGTGAAGGATTGCAGAATGCCATTCCCTGGACTTTACACAACTACTGTAATCATTAACTCTTAACAACTGTAGTTACCTGCACTAGGCCCACACAAGAATGTCCCTATCAATAATCAGTCAAGGGAGAGGAAAGGGCTCATGGGTCCTACCCTCACCTCTGAACTATTGGCTATTGATGGACTCTGGGAGAGGCAGACCACTGTCTTTAGTTGTATCCACAGCTAAACCTACCACACACCAACAGTTCCAAACCCATGGTGACACAGATAGCCCTGGGTCACAAAACAAAATGACTCAGTTGGGTTGGGCAAGAATGGACAAGGGGAGCAGGGAGGGGACAGTGAGTGATTAGTATGTATGGCATACATGTACAACATTATAAATAAAGTATTTTTAAATAACAGCTGTGCGTCAGGAAGATTAAGAAGGCAAGAGCAAGAAAAACTAGACTCACTGGTGAACAAGCTATGGTGGGTGTTCAGGAAGAAGGCCAGAAAGTCTGACATGGATGGAGAAAGTAGGAAAAGGTGGAATACGCCTTTAATGTTTCCTCAATGAAGGTGAAATTCAGCTCTGTCCCAAAGCATGCTTTTACCTTTCACTATTTCTCTTCCAATACAGAAATGCTTTGAACTTGGCTAACAACTGTGTCCCAGGGTGTGCAAAGAGGTCATCATCTCTTTGGACCTGTGGATAAGGACTCTGGCCAGCCCCCAGTCACACCCATGCACTCAGTAGCCCTCAGAATGTATTTGCTAAGGAAAATAGGATGTTGAAAGTGCTAGAGACACAAGGGAACAAAACTTCAAGTTGTCAGCACGTACTTAATGCCATAGACAGTTCCAGAAGGGTTTACACACTCTGCCTCAAGCTCACTAACTTGCAAAGTTGGTGTTGCTCACTCCCCTAAGATTGAAGACTGAGAATTAGAAAGGCTGTGTCTCTTGTCTGCATTTGTATTCCTCTTAACTGGTAGGGCTGAAAATGGGTTTCAATCCCATAATGCATAGCATCTGTTATAGGCTGTTGCCTGGTGCCCAGCTCTGTTCATATGTTGGAGTCCTGACCCCTCACCCCAGTACTCAGAATGGGACTGTATTTAAAGGTAGGGTCTTTAAAGAGGCAACAAAGGGGAAATGAGGGCACATGGGTGAGCTTTGGTCCAATATGACTGGTATCGTTACAGGAAGAGATGAAGACACAGACACACAGAAGAAAGGCGTGTGAGGACACAGAAGACAGGCATCTGCCGGCAAATGAGAGAGGTCGCGGAACTCGCCCTGCCTAGATCTCAGACGTCAGCCTCCAGAACTAGGAGGCAGCAAGCTTCTGGAATAAGCCGCCTGGTCTGTGGTATTTGTGTCAACAACCCAAGCAAACCAGAACAGCATTTTAGCTTTCTTCCCCAGCCAGTCCTTTCCTTCCATGTTCAAAGTCAGGGTGGCTGAACGACATGTTCGTGGCTGGCATTCTCTGCCACCAGCATGGCCCAGTCCTCTTAGAATCAGGAAAGATCTAGTCCACTCAGAAAATGAAGGGAGGGCCCTCAGAAAGCTTAGCATAGAATTGATATTTGACCCAGAAATACAATTTCTAGATAGACAGATAATTAGAAACCAGTATTTAGGGGGCTGGAGAGATGACCCAGCAGGTAAAGAGTGCTTGGTACAAAAGCATGAGACCTGAGTTCACCAGCACCCACATAAAAAGCCAGGTGTGGTCTTGTGTACCTGTAACCCCAACTTGCTGGCCACCAGCCTAGCTCCAGGTTCAGTGAACGACCTGTCACAGAGAAATAAGGTAATGGTAACAGAACCAGATACCTGATGTCCTCCCCTAGCCTCTGCAGTGTGCAACAGGCTCATGCACGTGCTCACATGCATGTGCATACAACATATACACACGCAGAGAATCTGGTATGTGAATTCTTAAATGTGGATGCTCACAAAAGCACTATTCACGTGATCAAACTAGAGAAAACAATCCAAGTATCCAGCAACAAACGGATTCTTTATAGTATATCCAGACAATGAAACATGGCTTAGTTGTATGTGAACCTAAAAATTTATAGCCACTTTTGAAAGAGCTGTATCCTTGCTCTGGAGTGTGTTACTGAATATGTTAAAGCTGTAATGAAATGCTTCTTCTAATCACATGGTCATTAAAT